CCAGGCTGTTGATTGCAGTACTATTTGGATTAGCAAGAGTTGAGAACTACCAAATTGTTCCTCCTTCCAGGAGAGTTTCCCAGCTGGTGTGCTACATAGTTTCGTGAGCTGTGGCAGACATGTTTTTGCCCCGGCCATGTGCCCTTAAGCCCGTCCTCAGAAGTCATGTGTAACTTTGGTGGACAGTTCTCATTCAAGGAACGGGCGCCTTGCCTTGTCCTTTTGACCATAGGTTTATGCCGGGCCCAAGCCTGGGGCAGGCAGGAAGTGCCAAATGCTGGGGAGAAATACACGGGAGCAGCCCTCAGCCAACGAGGGATGGGAGTCGTTCAATGAATACACTGAGGTTCTTGTCCCTAGAACGTTCTACAAGTTTTTCAAAGGATGCCCTGGAAAAGAGCCCCATTGTCTCAAGTGGCAATTTACGTGCCATTGTACCCTGTGTTGGCCTGCCCTGCCTCGCTGTCCCTGCTGTTCTAGGATCACCACTTAAACTGCTTACACCTGAATCCTTACTTTAGACTTCGCGTTTAGTGGATATCCATAAGAAGACACAGAGCTTGGGCAGTTGGAGTCCCAAGACTAGTCCCCTCAGGGGTCCTTAGAGCAGTGGTAGGGGATGATGGAAGGGGGTGGTCTGACAGCTTAGCCTAAAAGCACGTACATTTATGGTTGCAGATGCCATTCTTAAGCACTTCACAAGCATAAAACCTGCACTAAATCTGCATAACCACCCATTATTATCATCTCCATTTTACAGGTGAAGAAACTGAGGCACAGGGAGGTTGAAGGGCACCGGGCTATCCTAGGAAGTATGGTTTCAGAGCCCTGCTCCTAACTGCTACACAGCCTGTGTCTCTTTCGGCCCTCACCGCTCCACCAGGATGCGTTGAGCATGGCGAAGGTTGGGCTCTTTCTTCCTGGATGTCTACTGCAGGGATCAACCACGGGGCACGTGGCCACCCATCCTCCACAAGGACCTTCACACAAAGTCTGTGGAGCCACCGGAGAAATTTGTTTTCCAGGTGCCCCAGGAGCTTGGCATGAAGTCCAGGTGAGACTGATGTGTCTAGAAGGGATGGTCAACTAGCTGCAGAGAGATGTCCTGCCACATAAATAGTTTGTAAATAAGGGCTTTATCATTATTTTTATTTATTGCTATTATTTTTACAAGGCAATTAGGACAGCGAACAGGTGTTTTGTTTTGTTTTGCAGGGGGCGGGGTGGGGGGCACTGAACAGTTGTTCTGCTTTGCAGGGGCCAGGTGGAGGACACGGTTTTTTACATCAGTGCAATTTGAGCCGAGCCTTCCTGACTAGGCACTGGTCATTTCCCCACTCAGCAACAAATTTACAAACTATCTTGTTGGCTAGCCACTGCATTGTTCATATTCCTTTTTATTTTATTTTCAGAACTTTTTCTTTCTTATGCTTGTATTCTTGGTACCTCAGTGTTTTGTTTTTTAATATTTTATCTTTAATTTCTACACCCAATGTGGGGCTTGAACTCACAACCCCAAGATCAAGATCAAGAGCCAGCCAGACACCTTGATACTTTTAAGTATCAATGTTTTAAGAATGACTTCCTCAAATTTTAAGATTGGCAAATATTATCCCTATAGATTTGTCTTATTTGATTTTTTCAAATGTTTATTTTGAGAGACAGAAAGAGCAAGTGGGGGAGGGGCAGAGAAAGGAACAGAGAGAATCCCAAGCAGGCTCTGCACTGTCAACACTGAGCCCAACACAGGGCTCAATCCCACGAACTGAACCGTGAGATCGTGACCTGAGCTAAAATCAAGACTCAGACGTTTAACCAACTAAGTCACCCAGGTGTCCCTGTCTTATTTGATTTTTAATAAATATCCATGCTCTAATGTTAGAATTCTGGTCATATGAAGTATTAATTCCCTCCTAAATTATTGAAACTGCCCCATTCCTGAGGGCTTATACATGAACACTTAGCTTGAACAATTCCGTGAAACAGCCCATGAGTTCTTATGAAATTTAAATGGTTTTACCACAAAGTCTGTCCCTGCCTTCTTTCCTTCCTTTCTCCCTCTTTCCCTGCCTCCTTTCCTCTCTTCCTGTGTGCTGTGCAGCCTTGCCTAGTGTTAATAAGTCACAATCTTCTCAAAAAAAAAAAAAAAAAAAAAAAAAAAAAAAAAAAAAAGACTGGAAAGCTTTATGTCATTTCCTGTGTTCTGGAACTCATCATTACTTTAAAATACCTGAATGAGGAGCACCTGGGTGGCTCAGTCGGTTAAGCGGCCGGCTTCGGCTCAGGTCATGATCTCGAGGTCCGTGAGTTCGAGCCCCGCCTCGGGTTCTGTGCTGACAGCTCAGAGCCTGGAGCCTGTTTCAGATTCTGTGTCTCCCTCTCTCTCTGACCTTCCCCTGTTCATGCTCTGTCTCTCCCTGTCTCAAAAATAAATAAAGCGTTAAAAAATATGTATTTTTAAATACCTGAAATGAAAAAGTTCATTTGGATTTGAAATCCACTTGAATATATTATATTTGTCAATTAAATAAAGGGAAGAGCTGTTGGAATGTTTAAATATAATTTCAATTGTAAGCTTTGGGATGGTTAAATTTTTTTTTTTAGCACCTACTTGCAGCTATGAAGTCTCTTGTTGATGTCAACTACCAAGAATTTGAAGAGATCATCATTAATAAGCCTTGATTGGAAATTGTGTGAACCATTTTGATTATAAAAGCTCATATAAAATATTTGTGTCTCTTAAGAAATAAATTTTAAAATGGGTACACTGCTGTTTCAAAGTTCATTATGAAATATATTTCATTTTTCTCATTATAAATACAGTATATAGAAATGAATTCCGTCCCCTTCCCCAGACCCACATGGGCAGTCTGAAACTCCTTCCAACTTTTCCTCAGTGTGCAGTTCCAGTATTTTATGCACATGCCATAGCATGTATAAAGTTGGAAATCACTGAGTTAGATAGAGGTCTGGTTAAAATACTACACAGCTAGAATAAATCATGAAGCTGTCATGAGTATTGATAACTGTTGAACCTGTATGATGAGTACACGGGGATTCCTGTATGAGTATGTAAACGTGTATAAGACATTACTTAGGGAGAAAATGCAAGGCAGTGTAGGTCTGTTAACCATTTGTGTAAAAAAAAGGCAGGGAGGATAAAAGTATATTTATATCTATGTATTTGTCTGTATCTGAAAAGATGTTTCCAGAAGGATCAAAAATCTGAAGAGGGGCCTGAGTGGCTAAGGTAAAAGAGCAGGGGCAAGGGACACATTGTGGGGATAGGGGTGGGGGAAATGCTGGAGACTTTGGTGTTGAACTAAAGAGAATGATGACCCTGAGCACAGGGACAGCAGTGGCAAGCTCTGAATCTAATACCCAACGATTGGAAGTGTAGAGGTCCTTCTGGTGAGCCGGATGGAGGACGGAGGACACCGGGGAAAGCTGGCCAGGTGGGAGACAGAGGTCATGGGCGCTACGGAAGGGCAGAGGCAGTGGGCGTGGCTTCAGGTCTCACCAGCCTCGACCACCAGGGGGCAGCCAAGCCTGCTCCTGAAGGCGTGAGGGGCGGAGCGTCCGAGGCAGGTTCCCGCCTCCAGCTCCGTCCCCGGCTGGAGCGCCCGCCCATAGAGTCCTCGTTTTCCCAGACCCTTTCGGGACCGGCTGCTACAGGTGGAACTGTATAGGAAGCCCGCTCGAAGGTGGGGTCATCGCTGCCGCACCCTCCCCACTCCCTCAACCAGCCTCCCCCAAGCTCTTTTGGGTTATTTCATTCAATGTGGACCACAGTCGTGTGAGATGGGTACTGCCATCAATCCCATTTATGGAGGTGAATGTTGGAGCACAGAGAAGGTAGGTAGCTTGCCCAAAGTCACAAGCCCAGGAAGGGGGACCCAGGAAACATACCTGACTTGCCCACCCTGAGAACCAGAACCTTATCAAACCATGGCTCCTTCACTGGTCTCCAGGTTTCTACTCTGCTCCCCTCCAGAACCTTCACACAGCTGCCAGAGGGTGTTTTGGGGCCCTACGGGGGGCATATCATTCCCTGACAACTTCCCTCTGGCTCTCACTGACCTCAGGATCAAGTTCAGCCCCCTCATCCCACCGCTCTGGCATCACCTTGACCCAGGAGGCCTTCTCAACTCGACACACCCATTTTGCTTCAGCCTGAAGAAAACTTATTCACCCTGTGCACTTGCTTCTTCTTCACCAGGACCACTCTTCTTGCTTCCCCCATTCTTTTAGTTAACTCCTACATTCTTCCAGCCCTAGATCTCATTACCTCGTCTTTTAGGGAGCCTTCCCTGACTCCTGACTCCCAGACTAGCTCAGGCTCCACATTAAATACTGTTGGGGCACTCACTATGAGCCTCTTAAGTTGCACTGGCCTCAGAAATGTGCTTCACTTTTGTAATTATAATGGTGTCACCATTCCAAAAACTCCCCAATCACCCTTGATTCCTCTTTCTTGACCGATTTCTAATCCATCAGTAAATCCTGTGGGATCTACCATTAAAATGTTACCTCAAGTCTGACTCCTTCCTACCTCCTTCCCCACTAGGTCCTTCATTAGTCTTGCCATTCTTCCTCATGGTCACCCAGATTCCACCTTTGCCCTCCAGCAGCCAGACCCATCCTTGTATTTGTCTGTTTTCCCAAGAATGGGAGTTCCATAAAGGAAGGGCCTTGTTCACTGCAGAATCCCCAGGGCTCTAGGACTGTGCCTGTGCCAGGCAGGCCTCAGTAAACACATGCCAAGTGGCTGTTTCTTCCCCTAGAATGTCAGTTCCTGGGGGCAGGGACTGTGTCCATCCTGTTCACGCACAGCCCCAGTGGCTCGGCACACAGCAGGCACTCAATAAAAACCCCATCAATGGCAGGTGGAGAGATTCAGGCCCAGAGGGAGCTCCCCTGCAGCACCCCTGCCCAGCAGCCAGCCGCACATCCCCTCCTTCCCCAGCCCGGGGCACACAAGAGCCCAGGTCCTTTGCTCACTGAGTCAACACAGTTTATTACTGAACTGCACTTTCACCTTCACACAGACTATTTCAAAGAGCTGGAACAAGTGTGGGGTGGGGGCTGAGGGGGGGGGGGACAGTTGCCCCTAAGGAGCCAGGACCCCCAGCTGGCTTCCCCAGACCAGGGCAGGGGAGGGAGCATCAGGCCGTTCAGTCTCCGGGCACCAGCTCTCCACGTGCACACGCACAGCAAGCCAGCAGCTCCTCACACATAAATACAGACACGCTTAACAAAAATAGTATATCATCTTCACAAGGAATAAAAACTAGTCTCGAATATGTACAGCAGAGAGCCCGGGATGGCTAGGGGTAGGCTGGGACCCCTGGGGATGAGACAGGCCATGGGTGGAGTAGAGGGAGGCCTGAAGGACTCCTGGCCAGGCCACTCTGACCTTGGCAGCCTGGTGACCCAGGCTGAATGGGGGTGGGGCACACACCTGTTTGACCAGGTAGGACTGGCCCTTCCAGCCACCCCCACCTACACCTCGTGCATCAGGGTCTCCTTCCTGCCCTTCCTGCCTGAGGTAGGGAAGACTCTAGGGCTCCCACAGCTGCTCCCTGTAGCTCCCCTTCACGTCTGGGCGGAGGCCCCCGAACCCCTGAACTCTGTGGGCAGCAGCCCAAGGCAAAGATGCCACAGGCTGATCTCGCAGGAAGTGAGGCAGCTGAGGCCATAAACAGCTCTGGCCATAAACAGCTCTCGGGCCCAGTTGGTCCCTTAGTAATGGTCATGGGAGCCAAGGGAAAGGAAGGGGAAAGGAACTAGGGTGGTGCTAAACTGCAAGGGCCACCCTAGCTTTGGCATGGGGTGCTTCCTGCAGCTACAGCCCCCCACCCTGGGTGGGGCTGGCCTCTAGCCAGAGGCCTCTGGAGGACACTGGGATTGGGGTCAGGGACTTTGGCCAGGCCAGAGGTGGAGAGGGGGTCCTGGTCCTTGTTTCTTTATCCCAAGCAGCTTAAATCCCTAATTAGTCAAAAGTGGCCCCTAAGTGGCTCTTGGGAAGGTGGGGATGATAGGAAGGGGACCTAGATCCTGGAAGGGATAGGGAATGATCAATTCTGAGGCCACAAACATCAAAACGAAGGCAATCTAGTCTCTCCTGGGGAAAAGGGTCAGAAAACTTTCCAGCTCCCTGACAAGAAAGCATTCTCAGGGAGGCTAAGGGGTTGGGGGGTTCCACCAAACAGGCAGGGCCCTCCAGCCCCCAACCACATACACCCCCACACCTGCCAGCTTCCATGGGGCAGATTTTGGGGAAACTCTGTGGGTTCTGAGGCCAGGAGAACAGAGGTGTGGGGAAGGCGGCTTTCACAGAAGCATGGTAGATTTCTAGAAAACTAATTGCAGGGGACCAGGTCTAGGCCCAACCCTGTGATGGGTAGGTGGCCACAGGCTGCATGTAGTGGTTCTCCTGGTGGCAATGGTTGCTGGATAAAGGGATGTGGTGGGGGCAGGGTAGGGCAGGGAGGGTAAGTGGGTGGTCAGTGTCTGGTCATTTCCGACTGAAGAGTGAGCCCAGCAGAACCACGCCAGCCACAGTCATGCCTGTCAGGAACCAGCGGTTGAAGCGCTCCTGGCCCTTCCGGCTCTCGGCCGCTGCATTGTTCCCGTAGAGTTCCACAAAAGTGTCCTGCAGGGAGAAGAAGAGAAGGTGCTATTTGAGTCCTTTGACAGTAACATGGGGGGGTAGGAGAAGGGGGCCATCTGCTGCAACGGTGATCTGAAAAACTATAGCCATCCGTGCCTCCTCTGGGCCAGATACAGGGTTAAAGGCGGCCCTTCTTCCTGATGCCCAGCTGGGGATGACCAACACACATTATTGTTGAGATAACAGGTGCAAAGCTGGGAAGGAGCTTTGTCCAAGGTGAGCTGGCTAAAAAGTGGTACTGGAGAACCTGCGGGAAAGAGATAGGCAGGGGCAGGGAGGTGACAGGAGGCTAGGTGGCTGGAGCAGAGGGCAGGAAAGAAGGGGACAGGGCAGAAGAGGGTAAAGTGGTGAGCAAGAGCTGGCTCATGTGTGGTCTGGAAGCAGAGGAGGAGCATGGAGTTGAGTCTGTGAGTAGCCTTCCCACTGCTGTGACAGAGGGAGGGGACAGGGAGGGAGAGGAGATGGGGCTAAATTCCCAGTGATTCAGGGGCAGGTCAAGTCTGGGGATTATGAGCCAAAGGCTCCTTCTCCCTCTGGAGGGAGCCTCTGGCCAGGATGAGTGATGGGTAGACAGAGCGGGGCAGAGTAGAGGGGCAGCAATGATGACGCAGGACTGGGACAGGATCTAGGAGGCCCTGTCCATGTCTTTCGGCCTGCCCCCAGGGGGCGTGACTCTGGGCCCAGGAGGAGGTGAGCAACAGCCTTCAGCCCTGAGGCCAGTCAGAAGGGAAGCACATGATATGGGGAAGGTAGGGCTGTGGGTTAAATTACCCAGCCCAGGGCGGAGCCAGCCTGTGGGGCAGGGAGAGGGGGTTTGCAGTACCCTTTAGTGAGGCGGCTTTGCTCCCTATTTGTCCTCTAATCCTCCCAACAATGCTGCAGTACAGACCCTCTCTTCCCATTTACAGACCAGGAGCCTCTGGGCCTAGGGAGGTGTGTGTCTAGAGTGTGAATGGGTCACCTGCTGGTCCCAGGGCCCATGTTCCTCCTCTCCATCAAGAAGGTGGGCCCTCATTTCCACCTGGTCCCAACTGGCCGAGTGGTGGCTGCTCCCTCAGACCAGTTGGTTCCAAGTTCCACCAGGCCAGTTTGCTCACTGTGATGTGTGCCTGGCCTTCCTTCTGGTCTTGACAAGCCCCCTCAGTCCATGCTCCACACAGAGGATTTTTAAAAACGTAGATCAGATCACGGCATGCCTGGGTTTAAAGTCCTCCAACAGCTTTCCCTTGCACTTAGAAAGCCAGTGTCATTTTTGCTCACATCCTGGTACCTAGCAGAGTGCCCTGTGCACCAAACTGCCAAGATGACTCAAAGACTCCTGAGTGTTTATTAAGCCATCAGGGAAACAGCAGAGACACCGAAGCTGCAGCCCCTACCAGATAGTTTACGATGTATGGGGGGAAAACCACTAGAAAAAGTCCCTCCATTCAGGCCATGTCACTCCTTCCCATCTCATCCCAAGCTCTCAGCCTTCACAAGGCTTCCTATCACACCTGGAATAAAGCCCTCACTCCTCACCACGGCCAGCGAGGTCTCGCGGAACCTGCTCCTCCCTCCCTGCTGCACACTCGCCACACGGGTCTCCTTGCTTTTCCTCCAACATCTGCTTGGGAGCTTGCTGTTCTCACTGCCTGGAGCACTTGACCCCAGATCACCACCCACCTCACTCCCTCATTTCACTGCCGGCTCTGCTCAAATGTCATCTCCTCAGAGAGGCCTGCCTTGGCCACCTCGTCTAAAATGGTACCCATCCTCCTCTCTACCTGTCCTCTTACCCTGTTTTATTTTTCTCCCCAGCACTTCTCATAACGGTGCATAATGAACAGATTCAACACTTTGTTTCGTCTCTTGCACTAGGTGTGGCTTGACGAGGGCAGAGCCCCTGTCTTGTCTCTATATACCCAGTGCCTGGAACAGTGTCTGGCACGTGTTGGTGCTCAATAAACACATGAGTAGAATGAAGGTACTACAAGTCTACTAAGGGCCACGTAGTTACCCATTTCACCTTCATCAGCTAGATTTGAGCCCCATTTCACACTGCAGAGGGAAGACCTTGCCTGGGGTCAGCCGGCTAACAGGTGGCAGAGCCTGGATCAGGACGCAGGGATACTCAGCTCCAAAAGAAGCACGGCTATAGCAGGACACTTCCCTATGTGGGGGGCTGGGATGACGTGTCCTGTCAGTAACGCTAAAACGGGATTCTAGAAAGAGGGGGTGGAGTTGAGGAGGAGCCCTGGGTCTGAAGAGAGAAGGGCAGTGGTGTGGCAGCAGTCAGCCTCCTAATTCTCTGGCCTTGTCGCTGCCCAGGCATCGCCGTGTGGATATGCTTCCGTCTCTCCCCCCTCATCCCGGCTAGCCTCATGGGTGTTGGCGGACAAAGAAATTCTTACAGGAGTTGTAATTTTTCTGGTCCTAAGTGTCCTAAGTGAAGTAGGCCCAAGTGGAGTCACAAAAAAAGATGGATCTGTGATGGGGGAAGACTACTGGGCTATCGGGGGCATGGGAGAAGTGAGGCCAAGGCCAGAAGGAACTGGCTCTCCCAAGGGGCCCAATGTCTCTTAAGAAACCAGGGACACTGGGGTTGCAGCCAAAGTGGGAGAGGCCTGGCTCTCTCGATGGGAACTTTCCTAAAGTAGAGGGCTGGCAGCCACGGGAAACTTTCCTCTCTGGGGCTGGGCTGGAGTAAACAGGCCCTGTCCCTGCAAGGGCACAAAGCACTCACTGTCCAGGAACAGTCATTCCAGGGTGGAGGGAACATTCTCGTTTCGGTGCCATAGAGAACAAGACTCTGACCTGCCCAACCCCCCGACTCATGCATTCCTGGCCAGGACAACCTTCATTAGGAGCTCCTTCTCCTGGGGGGCGGGGGGAGTAGGATTTCCAGGGGCCACGGATTCTGGGGACTGCTTTTGCAGACAGAGCATGAGCAAAATGGGGTGTGCTATTGCAGGGCGGGTGCTGGGGAGACAGTGGTGTGGGTATATTTAGCTCAAGGTTCACACGACACACTTGGAAACAAACACAGCCATTTTCTCAGTGGGCGGTTGCCCTGGATAAACAAGCAGCATTGCAGAGCAGCCTGGTTCTGGAAAAGCAGAGATAAGCCCCGGTGCTTCTCAATGGCTCCCACTAGTTTCAGCCAGAGCTGGCATGGTGGGCAGGAGGGTGAGATGCAAGGGTGAGTGGCAGGGAAGTCTCTGATGTCACAGAGGCTTTCAAGAGACCCGGGCATGAGGCTGTCTGCATTCTCAGCTGAGGTGACAGCAACGTGGGGGAAGTTTTCTCTTTGTAGCTGTGACCGCTGCCATGGGATTCGTAAAGGAGTTTTCAGGGCCACCGGGGATAGGCAATGGCTAATGACTTCCATGGGAGGATCATGGACTCCCCCGCCAGCCAGATCCCCCACAAGTTAGTAAGACCAATGCACCTGCTCATTCTATAGTTTCACACGGCTAGTTTGTGGTAGAGCCTGGACTAGGAACTGGTGTCTCCCGACTTGGCATCAGGGCCCTTTAGAGAAGTGAGCCAAGAACCAGGGTCCCCAGGAGAAGCCAAAGCTGGGACCACTTTCAAGATCCTGCCTCCAACAGTCCTGGCCACATACATGGAAGGGCTCCACCCAACATACTCCAGGGTGCTTTTCACCCCTGTGTGTCCTCTTAACTGGTCACCCTCCCCGTATCATCTTCCTCAGTTAGCCAACCGCTACTCAGCTTACGAGACTCCATGACAAAGGTCTCCTTTGTGCTTCCAGGGTTTTTGCACTTTCATTTACACCATAAATATGTCTTTCTTTCTTTTTTTATAAATTTTTTTTTTCAACGTTTATTTATTTTTGGGATAGAGAGAGACAGAGCATGAACGGGGGAGGGGCAGAGAGAGAGGGAGACACAGAATTGGAAACAGGCTCCAGGCTCTGAGCCATCAGCCCAGAGCCTGACGCGGGGCTCGAACTCACGGACCGCGAGATCGTGACCTGGCTGAAGTCGGACGCTTAACCGACTGCACCACCCAGGCGCCCCTATAAATTTTTTTTTAACATTTATTTATTTTTGAGACAGACAGAGACAGAGCATGAGTGGGGGAGGGTCAGAGAGAGAGAGGGAGTCACAGAATCCAAAGCAGGCTCTAGGCTCTGAGCTGTCAGCACAGAGCCTGACGCGGGGCTCAAATTCACGGACTGTGAGATCATGACCTGAGCCGAAGTTGGACGCTTAACCGACTGAGCCACCCAGGCGCCCCCCTTTTTTTTTTTAAAGTAAGCTCTACACTCAATGTGGGTCTTGAACTCCCGATCCTGAGATCAAGAGTGCATGCTCTCTCTACCAACTGAGCCAGCCAGGTGCCCCACACTGTAACTATTTCTTGTGTGCTAACCATGCTCCAAGCCCAGTACTGGAGACACAGCAGTGAACAACACAAAGAAGATCTCTGCTTTTATGGAGCTTCTGTTCTAGTCTGTGTGTTCTCAACGGGAGGGCTATCACTCCCAGTGGGGCAAAGCAAAAAATTCTTGGATATTACAGTGGTTTGTGGCTTTCCACGGGGCCACAGCACATAAAGAGATACGGAGTACAGCTGTGGTATTCAAATGTCACGGGAAGGCAACAAGGACAAGAATGTCGAAAAAGATGCCTGAGGCGGATGGCAATAGGAAAAAAGGTTGAGAAACACTGTCCTGGTGGAAAGCAGACAGGGTAAGAAGCAAGACAATTTCAGAGATGATGGGGTTTTGAAGATAGTAAGTCATGGGGTGGTGACGGAGAATAGCTGGGGGACTGATATAGGTGGAGTGGTCAGAGAAGGTCTCCCTGGGGAAGTGAGGTTTGAGCTGAGAGCTGAATGGCAAGGTGGAAGTAGCCAAGAGAGGATAGAAAACCTGGGGTAAAAAAAGAGCCTGTTTCAGCAGAAGCAACAAGTGCAAAGGCCCTGAGGCAAGAATGAGAGGCAAGGTGTCCCTAGGCTGAGCCCCATTTGTGTGT